TCCTCAACTTCTGTGGAAAGCCCAGCTGCCCCTTCTTTGCCCTCATTTTACTCCAAAGACTGCAAAGTGTGAAATGATTTCTCATTGAATTAATGCTGCAGAGGGAGGAGAGGGCAGGGCAGGATCTTGACCTTCATGGTTCAGGCAAAATCAAATTGCTACAACTTCTCCTGGCTTGTCCTTTCTCATTAAAAACTCTTGCCTTCTTCTGCACACATGCCCCAGTTTTCATTGGTGAAATATTGGAGGGTATGCCCTTTGGAAGGGAAAGAAACTGTTGTGACCTCCAGTGCAACTCTGGATTTACCTTTAATTTACTTTTTTGCTGTTCTGTGTGGATTGTAACCAATATCTGGGTTTAACATTGGGTCCTTCCACACAGCCCTATGTCCCAGAATATCAAGGCAGAAAATCCTACAATATCCACTTTGTACTGGGTTATCAGAGTCCACACTCAGATCATGCCTTGATATTCTGGGATATAGGGCTGTGTGGAAAGGCCCATTGTTCACACTGTATTATAGCAGAATCATGAGCTATATGGCATGTGATCTGGATTATGTAATACCAGTAAAATCACACACTAATATATAATCTAATATTGAATTTGAAAAGATCACTTAAGCAATTCCATGAATATTTTCTTAAGAACTATGCCCAGTGTATTCAGACTTACCTTTAATTGCACAGACCTACGATCAGGTTAACAGAGTGTCATAAGAACTCTTCTGATTCCAATATTATAATAATTGTGCACAACGATCACCTCTGTCATTAGTACTGCTCCCGGTGTTCTTTTCAGGCCAACATGTTCTGAATGTGAAACCAACCATTTCAGAAATGGAAATCATGTATGTCCTAGGCTTGGTGAGTTTATTTTTTAAGGAACATCAGGTTCTTGGGGGGAAAGAATTCATAAAATGACTGGCCTAAACAATAAAGTTGACTTTCACCGGGCTGACTGAGCAGAATACCAATCACTGAGAATTTCTGATCAGTTAAACCACTATTGAAAGGAAAGAGCATTTAGTCCCATTTATGGTGCTTTTACTGTTTTCAACCTGTGGGTCCCCAGGTGTTTTGTCCTACAACTCCCAGAAATCCCAGCAAGTTTATTAGCTGTTAGGATTTCTGGGAGTTGAAGACCAAAACATCTGGGGACCCACAGGTTGAGAAACACTGGTTTAGAATAAATGCAGTTTACCATCACATGACACAAGGCTACTTCCAGCGGCACTCCATGGGGCTCTGTTATGGCAGTGGAGAGAAACAGAGTTGAGAGGAGTCAGGTGTTTATTCAACTCCTCACTGAAGAAGGTAAGAGGAGGCAAAGAGAAAGTGGAGAAAGGTGGGGAAACGATGTGTGAAGAAAGGAGACAGTCCCTGATGGGAGGAAACAGTGCCTGACAGTTCCCTTTGCTGTCCCCGCTTTACCCCTACCCATGTAATAAGGTCCTAAGTCTACAGTAAAGGTGCAGCCTCAGAGCTCTTCCACACAGCCATATAATGTGACTTAAACCGGCATTAAAATGCTGATCCCAGTCCACATGGAGGCTACACCACACTGCACTAAGCCACTTCCATGGCAGGAGACGAGTCACACAGCCCGACCATGTTGAAGCTGGTTTTTGAGAACCATCTTATATAAGACATTAATCTTATGTATAAGATTAGTAAGACTGAGCTACAGTCAATCTCTTTGCATTGTGTTTAGACTAATAGACGGAGAAACCAGAGGAAAATTATTAAACACTCAAACATACTTTACTTACTTACTTTACTTAGGTGAGCCCTCATTGTCTGAGCAGGATAGTCTTCCAAGATCAGTGTACTGGTGGGTCCATAGGTGACTGAGGAGCCCTATTCTTGATCTGCATCTTCTCCCGCAGTGAAGGCATTCGTTTCCAGGTGGAAAGCGGTCTTGGTTGGGGTTCGCTTGATGCGCCTTCCTCTTGGCACATTTCTCACTTTCACCCTCTATTCGTGCCTCTTCAAATTCTACAGCACTGCTGGTCACATCTGACCTCCAGCTAGAGCGCTCAAGGGCCAGAGGAGGTATAATTATTCAATAGTATTCCTGTATCTTTGTATTATGTAAAGAGAAGTCAAGGGTGGAGGTTCACTGGTGGGAATGGGGAGGTGATGGGACTGGGGAAATAATATTTGCATTTTGATTGTTGTATTTCGAAGATTGTATGTTTCTATTTATGTATATATATTAAAAATTTAAAAACCTTCCAAAAATCCCTCTAGGAATTGGTCCAACTGTTAATGCTAATTTTAGCTGTGCAAATCCATTCCTGGCCACTGCTGAAACCAGATCATCCACTCAGATACGAGCCCAGGAATACACCTGAACTGCAAACCTGAGATTTCAAGATGAGTGCTGCAACCCATCCAGCACAGGCTGAATCCCTGTTCCTTGATCTGCCTTCGTGTTGACCAGGAACACCTCTGTCCTGTCTAGATTCAGTGTCAATTTTATTTTGTCCTGAAGCTGCACAAATTCAAATATACCCGAGAACACAGGAAAAGTAGGAACCAAGATTGTATCTAACCACAATTTCCAAGATTTGAGCAATTTTGCCTCAAAAATATCATGCTAATTCTTGGCAGCATGTTGTTGAATGGGTCTGTTTTTTCTTCAAGTGAGTCCTCTGGCCATTTGAAACAAGTCTGCTGTCTGGCACTGTACAGATGCAATTGTGGCACAAAGTATTATCTCTTTTCTGCCAACACCACCATAGGCTTCCTATGTGTTTCAGCTCATGTTTAATCAGACCCATTCCGAATTTCCTGCCATCTATGCTGTAGACTCCAACCCACAAATTACATCACTATCAGCTTCCTCGCAATCCAGAGTTTTTATGTTTGTTTTGTTATTTTTAAGAATTCTGTGCTAGCATTACATACACAATCATTTCAACAAGAAGTGGCTAAGTGCTCAATTGAATCAAAAGCAAGAGAAATCACTGACTACTGGCTAACAAGTCCTACACATTTGCTCCCGACAAGGTGCATTGATTTTTTAGATGCAATCTTAGCATATTATTTCTACTCCTCGCTGCACTGTTATTAGTCAAGCAGTTACTGTGTTTTGGAAATTACGAGATAAATAATTTACCTGTTTAAATCAAATACAAGAGCTAACATTGCTGGAGGAGTTGCCCAATTTGGACTTTTTCCACGGTTGATGGGAGGCCAACTGACTGACCCGCACAAAGAAAGACAGCTTGATCTCTCTTGGAAGTCGACAGAGGCTTTTTGATTTCTTAAGAACTCTGTGCCAGATTAAACTCAATCATTTTAATCAGTGGTGATTCAAAGAGGTCTGGCACTTGGCATCCTGTGCTCCCAGCAGCATCCTTTCCATGAAACCTCAATAAAACATTAAAAACTTCATCCTATCAGACAAAAAATATGGGTTGATTCAGGTTGATCCAGACTTTGCCATTAGCGTTCAGTGTTAGCCCGTGTTTAAATAAAATGGAGAATTAATTCTCTACCATCACATTTGTTCTTATC